GACTTTGGGGACGCCCAGGATTCCTTTTCTTTCCGTATTACCAGGACACAGCGAGCTATGATGGAAAGAGCTCCAGATTTGGAATGAGAAGATCTGAGTTCAAGGTTCAACTCAGTTACTTCATAGCTGTGTGACCAGAGGAGAGTCTGAGCCTCACTTTCCTTACCTGTGAAATGGAGGTCTTCATTTTTACACTGTTTGCCTAATAGAGTTGTTCTAAGGAATGCACTTCATAAACTATGGGATCACAGGATTATAGGTTTAGAGCTATAAAAAGTTATGTTATTGCTATGACCATATTGGGGAGGTGGCATGTAAGTGTTGAAAGAGGACCAGGCTTGGAGCCAGGAGAGAACTAGGCTCAAATCTGGCCTCAGACACTTACTAGCTGTGTGACTCTGGGCAAGTCACTTGACCTCTGACCTTCAGTTTTCCTTATCTTTAGCTTGGGAATAATAATGGTACTTACCTCCGAAGGTGGTAGTAAGGATCAAAAGGTAAGATGTTGGTAAAGTGACTTGCAAAACTTTATAAATGTCAGTTTTCACTGTTATTGTTGTTATAATAATGTTTATTCTCAATTAGTCCCGCTCACATCAGCTGTCCAGCTTCCTGTCCTGGTAGCAGTTTTGTGTTTCTGGCTACAGAGACCACAGAAGCTTCCCACAGAGAGAAGACAAGGAGCTTAGAGGGAGGCCATGACTTGGAGGAAAGGAATGCCCATGAAGTAAGACAAAAGAAACAGAGACATTTCCTTCTGGAGAAACAATCCAATGTCGCTCTCCCCAGTACACAATTCCCACTTCCACACCTTTGCTCATGAGCTTTCCCCTGCCTAGAACATCCTTTCTCTTCCTCTCCATCTCAAACCCTACTCTCGGTTCCCTTGATGTCCCAGCTGGTCCCGATCTCTCCCTTCCCTGACCTCATTTCCCAACACTTGGCATCAGTGCTGGCACTGCTCACTTAGAGAGTGTTAGAGTTAGAAAGGGCCCGGAAGGCCATTTATTTTTTATTTTGTTTTGCTTTTTGGTGAGGCAATCGGGGTTAAGTGACTTGCCCAGGGTCACACAGCTAGTAAGTGTCAAGTGTCTTGAGGTTGGATTTGAACTCAGGTCCTCCTGACTCCAAGACCAGAGCTCTACCCACTGCACCACCCAGCTGCCCCACCTGGAAGGCCATTTAGGAGTACTCTGCTTGATGAAATGGGAAAAGCCACTCACTGACTTGAGGTCAGGAGGCTTACATCTGAAACTTGACTCTTCCAAGGAATAATCTGAGTGACCTTGGATGAGTCACTCATCTTTTCTGAGCCTCAGTTTCCTTCTCTGACAAATGAGATACGGATGACACGATCTCTGAAGTCTCTCCTAGCTCTTAGTCCTAGGATTCTCTCATTCGACAGAGTTGGAAACTGAGGCTTGGAGACAGAACATGACCTGCCTAAGATCATATGACATGCTTGTGGCAGAGCAGTCTAGAATAACTTCCTGGGTATTATTTTTTCTATGAGCATATATCTCATTTCTCCAACTACTTATAGACTGGAAGCTCCCCAAGGGCAGGAACATCTCATACATTTGTGTAGTGTCTCCTAGACTACCTGGCATAGGGCTAAGCACATAGGAAGTGATCAGTAAATAAGTGTTGATAAATCAGAGAAAAGGAAATTGGGGGTTTGGGCAGAGAACAAATACTAGTCCCGAAGTGTCTGAAATAATAATTACTGTTATCTATGTATCTATGGTATATATACACATGTGTGTATGCATATGTATATGTGTGTATATATACATATACAAATATGTCTGTATGTCTATGTCTGTGTGTATGTATCTATCTATCTATCTATCTATCTATCTATCTATATATATCTATGAAATCTCACAACCACATTTGAGGAAGGTGTTACTATTGTCCCCATTTTACAGATGAAGAAAGCAGGCATGAGAGAAATAAGTGACTTGTTCAGGATCATGCAGCAAGTAAGTGTCTAAGGCAGGGTTTGAATCAGGGCTTGCTGACTCTATCCACCAACACCAAACCACCCATTCATTATCCTAGAGATAGGAGGGGTGGGCTAAGGGCAGGACAACCTGTTCTCTGTTATTCTAAAGGGCAGGAGAAGTGGGCTTGAGCTGCAGCATGAGGGATCAGAGTTGGACATGGGGAAGGACTTCTAGGGAAGGACCCAGAATGGGCTGATGGAGAGGACAAACGGGACATCGTTCCTGGGAAGCCCTGTGCCCAGGGAAGTTCCTCTGGTGCCTTAGGGTCTGTGCCTGGCAGGGGGAGGAAGGGCATGAGGTCTGCAGCCAGTTGGCAGGAGGGCAGAGTGGACTGTGGAGGGAGGGTGAGGCTGTCCTCTCCTGTACCTATTTACCCTTGTTCCATTACAAGCTCCCTAAAGGAGGACTTGTTGTTGCCTGGCCACACCTAGGGGAGGGGAGAGAGGAGAGAGGAGAGAGGTTAATGTGTGTCCCTTTCCCCTCTCCCCAGGAATCATCTGTTCATAGCTGGGAGGCTGGGAGTGGGGGGGGGAGCGCCAGAGATGCTGTTCTGTCCTGGGGTTCATTCAGTCCCTGAACTAAGCTGTGGAACTGCAGATCTACCCAGGAAGTTTCTGCACTAGCAGCCCTGCCAGGTCAACTCCAATCTACAGGAAACAGCTGCTACTCCTAGCCCCCCTCCACCCCATTCCTTCCCCCCTCACTCTTCTCAAATCCCCCGCCCACCTCAGCCCACCTTTCCCCCTCCCTCCTGTTTCGAGCTCGTTGCTTCTACTCAGACTTTCATTTCTGTGCCCCAGAGCCACAGCCAACACTCTCGGTGATTGGGGCAGGGGCAGGGGCAGAAGGCAGAGAAACCCAGAAAAGGAGCCAGCAGGGAGCCGAGGGAATGCCCAGCCTTTCTATTCTTCCTGAAACCCGTCTGGGCTCCAGCTGGGCACCTCTCCCTGCCTCCTACGTGCTATCTCTCTGCTGATGTGGTGGAGCTGGGTTCAGCTGGTCTCTTCTCACACAGGATCCCTAAGTCCATAGGACCCTCCCTAATCTCTCAGGTCCCCCACTCCTCCCTGTCTGGTGTGCCTACTCAAGGCCGGCTATTCTGGTGTCTCCTCTCCCTGCTGGCATCTCTGGTTCCTTCCCACCCTCACCCCACTCCAGCGCTTTCCTCACTGAAGCAACAGGAAGGTTCCCTCCTCTGCCCCCCACTGAGGGGCTGGCCCCCAGATCCACTCTGTGGGCATCCGATGGCATTCCTGCCATTTCTAGCTCACGCTTTCTGGACACCAGATGTGTCCTCTGCTCCCTTGCAAAGGACTGAGGCGAGAGCATCATGATACTCTGCATGTCTCCCTCCCTCCCTCCTTGCCCATCATGGCCAATGATTCCTCCCCTCCCCTGCCAGACAAGCCTCCACACCCAATCAAGCTGATATGATAGATCATGACACCTTTCATCTTCTGAATTTTCTCAGACACAGATACACATCTGTCTGGGAGTGCACACATATGTCTGCCCACATGACATGCACATACACAGGGACATCTACCCAAGAGCATAGACATGCCCACACGCACATAAATACACACAACTGCTCATTGATACACATCTACCCAGTGGTGCACATTTGGTCCTGCCTACACAATCACACACATACGTATACTTCTCAGTGACATCTATTGAGTCACACATACAGCCCTCTCCCAAACCCATCCTGGTGACACACACCTTCCCAGGTGTGTACCCAGACAGAGGCACATAAATCAGTCTATCTGCCCAGTGGCATCCATTTGGCCACACATAGCTCACGAGCCTGCCCAGGAACACCTTCCCCTGTGGCCACAGATGCTTAGTGCTTCTGTCCTTCCCAGCCCACCTTTGGGGGGCACTTTGCCATCTGTGCCCCTCCTCCCACCTTCATGGGGGAAGCCAAGACCCAGGCAACTGAAAGGATTTGCCTAAGGTCACGTAGCATGGTAGGGTGGGACTACAGTCCAGGTCCCCCAACCCCACCCACCTAGTAGAACTGCCTGTTAGCCTCAAACAGGCATGCACACACATGTACTCCCCTTGCAGGTGTCCAAACTGCCTGAGCCTTGTAGCCTGCTGAGGGGACACACCCAGAGCTAGGACCCTTTGCTCAGACATGCAGACAATGCCCACTAAACTTGGAGCAAACTCTTTACCAGCCCCAAACAGAAACTGAGATGAAAGATCACAGCCCCAGCTTCCCCCCATTCTGAGCCAAAGCCTTTGGGGTTGCTCAGACTAAGTCCACTGTACTCTCAACTGCAACTTTCTAGGACCTTCCCTCCCAGGCTGGGGTTCAACTAAGCATGGTCCCTAGGAGGAGAAGGAGGCAGTCTTCAAACAGAGGATGCTGGACACCTGTCCTGAGGTGTTTCCAGCATTTCTCCCCTTTTTAGGAACCCAAGGTGAAAGGCTTCTGCATAACTGGGGAGCTCTTCCCTCACTCAAGTGGTACCCCATCCTCTGCTCAATGGGGTTTTTCTGTCTGAGAATGCCCCACCAGGGTCAGGTCAAGGGAAGCATATCAACAAGATGCCTATGCCTTGAGAAGATCCCCAGAGTTCAGAGGACCCCGGAACTAAATGATATCAGGGATGTCCCATCACCTTCCTCTCTCTCTTTCTCTCTCTCTCTCTCTCTCTCTCTCTCTCTCTCTCTCTCTCTCTCT